TCGTGTCCTCTTTGTGTCAAATTGGCTAAAATCAACCAAAGAGTTGCCAAACGGTATAAGACTTACGAAGAAGTTAGAAGTCATTTGTGGCAACACTGCTGTTGGTTACCAATCAAGTGCCGGATGTGTAAACAGTATTTGCCAGACGCGGCCCCCTTTATAGCCAAACACTTCATTGATGAACACTTTCTACACATCAAACAACAGAAATATAATTTTGTGACCCTTTATGAGCCAAACATGAGTTTCTCGAACGAAGAGTTTGTGATTCTCCAGAAGAAACTGATTGAAGTGAACACCAATTCAGACATAGAGGCGAACATTAGGAGACTGTTGGAGGCCTCGGAGGACGGATACTATTCCCGGTTACGAAAGAAATGCGACAAAAAAGTCTTAAGCGTTGCTATGCTTCGTCTGACACCCGAACAAATCGCCGCACATTTGGAAAAGACTGACGAGACTGAGGACACGGATAGACCGCCGGAACAGTTGGCAGCCATAGAGCCGCAAAGGAGTGACGCGTCTGACCGGATCAGTGCTCTTAAAAACTCTAAGGATAAGACTAATGCCGACAACAACTCTAGGGATAAAAGCTCTTCGAGTTCTGACGACAGAGATAAGAGTTCTTCTTCGAGTGGCAAAAGGAGAGGCCGTCAGCCCAAAGAGTCGTCTACTGAGAGGGCATTGAGATCTGATTCAAACAGTTGTGATAAAAGGGGTGACAAAACGGACGTACTTTTGGACACTATAAACAGATTGAAAGAGAGTTGTCGAAGCAGTGGTGATGGCAATGGACCTAATGATGCCATGGCGTCCACCAGTGCTCGTAATAAGTGAGTCATTTGTGTCATACAATCCAATGATTACTAATTGAATTAATATTTCGCAATATTTGTGTTATAAATAGTAACACATTAGGTGCAGACAACGTGGACATGGATGAGGATGACTACCGGGTGGCGTGTTATCACTGCAACGATAAGTTCAAGTCTAAGAAGGAGTTCAACGCCCACTCCCAGAAAAAGCACCCGCATAAGTCAGCCAGGTGGTACGCCAAACAACTCAAGTAGATTACTGTACACCACACCGCCTACTATTAATATTACATTTCATTATTTAACTGTTCATTACTTTATAACCCATTACTGTATTGCTGTTGACTTTTATTAATACCATTGATTCTATATTTACAAGAATTCTCGCATTTTTATAATAAAATATTATAATTTAATTATTATTACCTTATATGTACTATATATTGATTATAAAATAGAGTATTATACCAAATATGTGATAATTTAACTAAATATCAAATATATATTGCTTTAATGTGTCTTATACTGTATTATTTTATTTAATATTTCACTTATTAGACAATTATCACCACTAAATGACTGAGTCAAAGTGTATCAAATGTTTTTGAGATTTTCAATAATGATTTTTAATGGAATTAAAATATTGGATATATTATTTACAAACGTGTATCAAATAATCTAAACTACCAGTACAGTATAAACACAACTTATTGGAAACTTAATATTGAGATTACTTTGCAGCGATTTCGAAATGACATAACTTGTTAAGGTAATGTTTTTAATAATAGACTATTTGTTTAGCATTTTATAAATACAGTTTATTGAGCGGAAAGTACAGGATTTGATTTATTGAATAAATTTAATGTTAGACTTTAATCTCTAGTGAATTGCGATTGGTTTCCAACGACTGATCTTTGGATGTATGGTCTGAGGGTCTGAGACCTGAAAGCTTTTACAGTA